TTCAGATCAATTTTAATCTATATCATCCTTAACAAAAAAAAAAAAAAACAACTCGATTTGTTGTAAGAGGTTCAATATGAATTTTATATATCAATTCCTTTTCTACAATATTGTGACCAATTCTTTATTCCCCGGTACCAAAAACTTGTTTGTGTTTCACGTATGCTCGAATCTCCGGGACCCCTACCAACATTAACAATTGTTTTGCACATTATATGATATACTGGTGCAAAGTTCAATTCATTAATTGACTTTCATTCAAAATAAGTATAAAATTTATTAATAACCTTCCCAACAACTCGAAATTATTGGGAAAGATTTTCAAGAATGAATTTTAAGTATCTTATTCCTGTTTACAACCTAATAACATTAATATTTAACACATATAAGCACACATTTGAGGCACGTGGGCCACGAATCTATTTCGCCAGTAATAACAACATTTGTGGGTATTTGATTAAGATGTAACACAGAATAATTCATGCCAATACAGGGGAGGTGGGTAAGGGGGGAGGAATTTATGATTCTGGGTTTGGTGCATGTTACCCCCTCCAACAAAATGGATTTTTTTCCATGTAAGTTAAAGTTAGGACATGATCGAGAAGATGATCGATTAATTATTGGACTCATCATTATTTGAATGATTGAATTTGTTACTAAGTTGGGCAGTGCCAACTGTGGCTCTCAGAATTTGTATTGCAGCCTCACTGCAGCCCCTCCCTACCTACGTGACTTCTTGCTGCAAGTAAGAACAAGGCGGTTCAACGAATCGTGGTGTCACTATTTAAAAATTGAGATGTGAACTAATTTTCTTTTTAAGTATGGTAAAATTATATATCAGTTCTTCGATATTTATATTCTTCGGAAAATCGATTTCGGCATACCTCATGTATATACCTGTGAATAATAATCAATAACTAGCACACATACTAATTAATGTCACAAACCACTCGACCCTAATAACTCGAGTTGTTGGGAGAAAGTTATGTTGGATTATATACCACACTACTACACGCCCCCTCAAAACGAAAGCCAACTCAGGTGCTTGAAGTTTGCACAGGCGATCACCATACCTTATGCTTTAATTAACTGTTAATATTGGGGGTGGTGGAGATTCGAACACACGACCACGTGGCCGAACCAGCTCTGATACCATGACATAAACCACTTGATCCTAATAACTCGAGTTGTTGGGACTTGGGAGAATGTTATACTGGATCATATACCTAGGAATGGCAATGGGACAGGTCCGGGGCGGGTATCTCGATACCCATACCCGCCCCATGGCAGGTCGGGTCGGGTAATTTATCACGGGGCGCGGGTCGGGGCAGGTCGACCCATTGGTATGTAATTTATGTGAATAACATTAGAAATATTCGTTCTTTTCATTGAAAGACCAAGAAAGAAACCATAATATGATAAAATGTAGTTATTTATTGAAGAAATTGAGGTTTTCACTTATTTCCAACTTTATTATAGCTAAAATATAATGTAATAAGAGGAAAATCTTAAGTAATTTTACTAAGATTATATGTAATTTAGGCAAGAACGGGTCGAGAATGGGGCGGGTCAGGGCAGGTCGGGTCGATGAGAGGTACCCATACCCGCCCCGCCTACGAGGCGGGTTTGACCCGCCCAAAACAGGTCAAACAGGTCGAAATTGCCATCCCTACATATACCACACTTACAATTAACATTTAAATGTGTCATTCTACACATAACTAATCAATCATACAATACAAATTCATTGTATCAACCAGTGACTAACAAACTTACTATAGAAATTCCCTAATATTTGAATGCCTATATTAAGGGCTTGTTTGCGTGATGGACTTTATCCAAAATTTATTGTTTGCTTCAAGTATTTAAAAGTAACAAATCCGTGGGAACCATGGACTTTAAAAGTCCAAATTCGTGGGCCCCACGAACTTGGAAATTCCACCTCTTTAGGTGGGAATTGATCATGAACTTTGAAGTCCATCATTTTTTATCAACCTACCCCTCATATTTCCTTTCTCTTCTCATATCATTTAGGATAATGAAGGTAAAGTGCACTTCATACACACAAATTTAATTAACAAAATACATAATAAAATCTATGAAACAAACAATAATCTTTTTCAAATTCATGAACTCAAAACCCATATATATAGTTTATCAAAATTCAAATTCAAGTTATACCAAAAAATTTATTTTTCAAATTCACGATATAAAAGATCCCTAAAAGGTCTCCTAACACACCCATTAGCCGACCCTAACCGAGAATCATCAAGATCGAGACGTGCTTTTGGGCTTTGGCTTTTGCCTCCAAATACATACACAGCTCGAGCATATTCGTTTTATGAGACTAGCTTGACCAGAAGACGGCAAAGAAACCAAAACACATTTGATAAATTGTCGTACTTCATTACAGTTATCCTCAACCTTCATCTTCTGACGCCAGCTCCAAGCATTTGTCCATTAGCAGGTTTTCACTGCTGAGAAGTCATTATTAATTTTTTCCAACAAGAAGCTAACTTTTAAATAACTAACCGGCGGCAACAATCCGAATCATAAGAGGAATATATGGCTGACTGTTGTCCGGGTCGGCCGGTGGTGTCCTCTTCATTAGTTTCTTATTAACTAAAGATTAAAGAAAGAAAGAAAAAATAACAAACCAGGTTTTAATCTTGTGTGCTAATGAGTAATGACACATAATTCACATGAACGAACTAATTAATACTAGACCGTAAATTCTGCAGATAAAAAGTCATGCCGTTTGGCTTTTCATATTGGGGTACAATTAGAGGTGGCAAATGTATCGATCCATGGATTTGTGGATTGGATTGGTGGATTCATGGATCAAATGGATTAGATCCAATGGATTGGTGGATTCATGGATTGGATCAAGTGGATTGGTGGATTATCCATGAATCCAAATGACATCCTCACCCTTGGACCAATATTTAAAATGTGAAAAGTTTAGGCACTAAAATATCGTAAAGAAAAATTTTAGGTACCAAAACGTAATTTTCCAATGAGATTTTTCGTATAAAAAATTAAATTTTAGGTACCAAAATATAAAATATAAAAAGTATAGGTACCATACCGTAATTTGTCATTTGGATCCATGGATTGATCCATGAATCCACCAATCCAATTGGATTTGGATTAAATGGATTGGATTAGGTGGATATTTTTAATGGATTGGTGGATTGGATTAAGAATTGCCACCTCTAGGTACAATAGTCCGTGGTAGAGTTACATGTATTTTAAGATGGCTTGTATTTGTTAAGATATAGTTGCTCTAAGAAATTTGAGTTAGCGGATTTTCAATTATGGATTTTATATCATTTATGAACACTCTTCTTCAAGTAAAAGTCGACTCGTTGATTTGAAACTTTTACAGGTCCGAGTATCATGTGCATAACATTGAGGGTCGTCGACTAAAGCACACAAGAGATTTAACATGGTTTAAATGAGTATCAAAACTAGTCTATGAAAGAGATAGAAGCTCCTAGTGAGTCTTATTCGGCTTAAACTCTTATACAATGGTTACAACTATATATAGAGGTTTGCTAACACAAATCATACATAGGTGGCTATCATGATATCTACATAATGATACCTATACTTAACTCCTTAAAATTTATGTTCAGTGCACAACATCAATTTGAACATAGTATGTACCAATGTCGATTAGATGTCGCAACATTGGTCAGAATATCTGTTGTGTGATCTTTAGGGAAAAGGTACCCAACCCATATAGTTCCCTCAACTTACAAATGTGTTATATAATGAACATGGATCTCGATACACTCTCTCTAACCATGTAAACTGGATTAATAACAATCTGTATGGTCCTCATATAATCTCCATAAACATGAATTGAGACTCTACATGTAACCTAAAACTCTCTAAGTAGTTGTTATAACCAAACCTAATGAGAACTTGTATCTGACATCGAGCAATATTCCACTTCTAGAGATGTCTTCGAAATCGATCATGCTTCCTGCATCTCCAAGATACAAATGATAGGCCAACTCGCTTATGTATACACCAGCCAGAAGTTGACTATCAAGTTTCTTTACAACATGCATAACCATCATAAGCAAACGCTTCAACACGAGGCTATCCTTGAGGTTGGAAAATAAGCAAACATCTTGTGTTTTCCTTAGGTATTGCAAGAGTCGAAGAACAACATTCAAATGCATCGTTCATGCCATTTTCATATACTCGCGCACAACCTGAACAACATTAGCAATATTTGGACGTGTATGAGTAAGATAGACTATGCTTTCAACCACATTCTTATAGGCTGACTAGTCCTCCAATATATTTCTACTATCCTGCTTAGCTTCAAGTTCTGCTTTATAGGTATAGAACTCAACGTACAATATGCAAATTTCGCAATATATGCTTTCCTTAGTATAGTCCATACATGGACCTATGAACCTCGAGACCAAGAAAATATAATACATTTTTTAGCTCATTTAAGTTTTTCAATTGTCGAGTGATGTTGTATCGAACAATTTTGGAATCACCTCCGTCTATGAATTATACTAAAATTAAAAAATATAGTCGTTTTGAGAATATTTGTGGAACCATATCAAAAATTAAATGGATTAATGGTTCAAAGTGTGACACAAAATTAGTAAAATTGTAAAATCGTAAATATGGAATCTTTTAAACTTCGAGTGAGAAGAAAAAAAAAACAAAGGCCTAGAGTCCAGACCCATCAGGCCATCGCCAGCTGAAAGCTGAAGCACGGGTCAAATTGACTCGAAACTATCCCTACCGTCGACTCGGCTCAAAACAGAAAAGAAGTAAAATCCCTACCGTCGACCCTTTACGAAGACGCTAAACTAAACAAACATCAACGGGCCCCACTTCTCAGCTCTCCCCCTCAAATCCTATAAACGCGTCCCGTCTCGTCCCCTGCAAAACAAAATAAAGTAGAAAGGGATCCGGATCCGAGCCAAAGCCACGAAACCAAACGGACCACAAGCCCCGACCCGAGCCCACCCACAAAAGCTCCATCACCATTCACCAACACAGGTGGCTGGGCTTCTGAAATTCAGTTCAAAAGTGGGTCTCTCTCTCACCGCACTTCCTCCTCCACCACCACCGGTCCCCTCCTTCTCCGCCAATTCTTAGTATCCCTTCCCTTTCTTGTCTTCTTCCTCCAAAATCCCTCCATTCCCCATTTCTCTCTGCTTTTTCCATTACAGAGATTCCCTCCGCGTTGCGACGACCCGAGTCTCGTCTCACTCTCTTTCTCTTTCAGCTTCTCCTCCTCCCTCCTCCTCCTCTTCTTCTCCCTCTCTCTTTTAAAAATCGAAAGCTAGATCGCTCTCTTCCTCACCTCATTCCTCTGCTTCTGCATTCTGTGTGTGAGAGAGATGAAGGGAGAGGCGAAGCACGAGAGGCGGTGGGGATCGGATTCCGTCCCCGCGAGGGCGGCGGCTCTCAGCAGCAGCAGCGCCGGGACTTCTCCGGTGAGCGAGGCGATGAGCTCGGTGGCCGGGGTGGAGGAGGAATTCGTGGAAGTCACGCTCGATTTGCAGGACGATGATACGATTATACTCCGGAGCGTGGAGCCGGCGACGGTAATCAACATCGGCAACGGTGGGAGTGGAAGTGGTAGTGGTGGCGAGGGAGACGAGAGCGGTGGAAGGGAGCTATTGCCTCGATCGAATCCGGTTTCCGCTCCCCCGTCCAGATCCCCGACGATCAAGCGGAGCTCGTCGAACAAGCTGCGGCAGTTCTCGCAGGAGCTGAAGGCGGAGGCGGTGGCGAAGGCGAGGCAGTTCTCGCATGAGTTGAAGGCGGAGCTGAGGAAGTTCTCGTGGAGCCACAGGGCGTCTCGCAACTCTTCGCAGCAGCCGCAGCAGAACAATAACAATGGCGGCAGTGTTTCTGCTGGATTCGACTCCGCCCTTGCCGCTCGAGCTATGCGGAAGCAGCGAGCTCAGCTGGACCGGACCAGGTCCAGCGCTCAGAAGGCCCTCCGCGGTCTCAAATTCATCAGCAACAGGAAATCGCAAGGCATCGAGGCGTGGAACGAGGTCCAGCACAACTTCGATAAGCTCGCCAAGGACGGTTACCTCTACCGCTCCGATTTCGGGCAATGCATAGGTTCTAATCCCTAATTCCATCGATTTACCCCACCTTTCTTTCTCGTGATTTTCCGGATTCGTAAAGTCAACATTGCAGAATCTCTGTTTCTAATCCCGATTACCGATTACACCCCTAATTGAAATTTTGGCTTAATTTGAAGGGATGAGGGATTCCAAGGAGTTTGCACTCGAACTGTTCGACGCATTGGGCAGGAGAAGGAGGTTGAAGGTGGAGAAGATTAGCAGGGACGAGCTTTACGAGTTCTGGTCACAAATCACCGATGATAGCTTCGATTCACGGCTCCAGATCTTCTTCGATATGTACGCTCGCTCACCACAACAAATCTTTAATCAATTGATTTCTAGAATTAATTTGGGGAAACTAGTAATTAATCATGACGTTTAATTAATTGATTAACTAATCATAAGATAACCAACATAATCCCACTCATCATCAACTAGGATCATGCAAGCCAAGCCCCTCCCCCACACCCAGCCAACAGTTTCCACTGTTACACTAATTTTTTTTGGTTTGTTTTTTTGAATCAACAAATATTCATAGGACATGGCAATTATTTGCAGTTGACAGAGGACAAATTTGTCTTTTCAAACGCCTCCGTTTTATTTATTTCTTTACGTTTCTGATTAAAATAGTACACATGCAAAAGGGGTGTTTCTGAGCCTTTTCTGACAGTAATTAATTTGCTTTTGTCCTTTATTTCTTTCTAATCGGTTTATTATATATTAATTACTCAAAGTGAAAAGGTCAGTATAATTAATTAATTTATTTTCTCCCGGTGCTTTTTTCTTCTTTCACCAGGGTGGACAAGAACGAGGATGGCCAAATTGGAGAGGAAGAAGTAAAAGAGGTACCTACCGAGCAAATCTTATGGATATCTGTTCATGTTCTTGATATTGTTTAATCACTAAGAAAATAATTAGTTTAGAGTATTATTGTCAATTGTGATCGTTAATCTAAAGGTCTATGCCTGCCTAGCTAGTTGCATGAATTAGTCAAATAGCCACCTCCATCCTGTCAGATTCTGCTGAGAATTGTGCTTAAAAAACGATATGCTTCTTTATATGAATTCGCCGACTCCAATTGCTCGAGAAAGAAAAAAGAGACCCATCAATACTTAAACCAAATTCAAATTTGATCAGTTGTCAGTTGTCACAGGCTTAGGAAATAGGAATGGTTCGTAGGCTACAGGGTGTCCATTTGGCTTTATTATTGATAATAATCTTACAGGTAAGGAGAGGATTCGGTGGCCTTATCATTTTCCATCCAAATTCCACGGTCTAACGACTCCAATACACTAATAATCAAACTGTTCCATTGTTTGCACAATACGAAAGGGTCTTTTCTTCCCCTTTTTCCTGCGTTTTTCAACAATTCCAATAATCTTTTCATGACGTTACCCATATTCTGACTTCTGTAAGTTTATCTCCAATATTTTTTTTAGATAGGAATGCATTACTTGTTCAACAGATAATACCAGCAAATTGGATCTGTTCTTCTAAAGGGTTTGGAATTTGGTTGACGACATTCGGCATATCTGAATTTCCAAGACATTGCATTTTTAACTTTTTGGTGGCGTCAGGTAGTTTGCATGACATTTTAATTGTTGGGGTAGCCGGGTAGGTAAGGGTGGCTTTTGATTCCCGCTCTGATAGGAGTTTTGAGGTCAATATTTTATGTTGACCTCAGTATTTGAATGAAGATGAAGGGCCTGATAGATATTGTAGGTCTCGTATTATTACAAGACCAACATTCGATGTATTATCTATATTAATTGGTTTATAGTTCATTCCGTGCTCTCTTACTATTGGACTATTGGTATAAAACCCATTATAATCATGCTGAATTTATATTTTATTTCTTTTTCTAGATTATTATGTTAAGCGCTTCGGCGAACAAATTGTCAAGATTAAAGGAACAAGCAGAAGAATATGCAGCTTTGATCATGGAAGAGTTGGACCCTGAAAGACTTGGCTACATCGAGGTGGGTCCTGCATTATTTTTTAATTTTCACTATTTGTTTGTTGATGTGAATTCCTTATATTTAACGGTTTACACCATGACACATATTTGCTAAAACTAAAAAGTAAACTATAATTCTAGTAGGGTGTCACTTTCCATCTAGTTTTCACATACTAGCTAAGTATTTTTTAGGGGGTTGGTTAACTATATGTTTAATGATAGCAAAATTTGACCATTCTTCCTGGATTGCAATTTACTATAAAACTAATTAATTAATTACCAAACAAGAGTTGGTTACAACATTTCTATCATTCTGCCTCTTCTTTCAAAGTCCATTAAATCTTCCTCCACTAAGTTTTTCAAAGTCCATTAATTGTTAGGCAACACAAATGACTTACTTAAACTTCACCGAAGAACTGGGTCGCAGTGTTGTTCAACTGTGCCCGAAGAAAGAAAAAGAAAAGAAGCAACTGGTAGAGAAGGATGACTAAGTCTGTTAAGTAAGCTTATCTAAGTGGAGTTCTCCATTTGGTGGTTGAACCGCTCCCCAAGCTGTTTATCTGTTCTTTTCTCCATCTTTCCCCTTCAAACATTAGTACTTTTACTATTTTCAGTTGATGCCGTGGTCATGCTACTATAGCACGAAAAGCTAGTAACCTATATAGAAATATCGGCATGTTTGTGAGCATCTATGAATAGTCAATTCCGGTTGGTAGAAAATTTAGAGTAAATTCCACTTGACCGTCTAAGAACATTCCACTTGACCCTTGAAAACTTCTTGGTGAAGATAAACATTATGAGAACAAACCAACATGATATCATCTGCTCACCTACTTAAACTACCAGAGAAAAATAGTCATTGTAACCCCTAGCCTTCTGCCTTTATTTACCCTTGTTATCGGATTTACACTTTTACTCTGGGGACATAACATACTAGATTTGTGTAACCCATTGCATAGTGCATACCATGATTGCCATTGAACTCATGCATATTCCTGCCACGTTGTGCACCTGACATATGGTATTGGGTGCCCAAGTGGACTGGTGACGGAACATTACTAGTGCATTTGACGCATAAAGCGTGATAATCGTGTCCCTCAATGATGATACTGCAAATAATTTGCCACGGCCATCTAATTCCTATCCGGCAATTTGTTTTAATAGTTCACTTGCTGATAATGATATGCAGCTATGGCAACTGGAGACACTTCTTCTACAGAAGGACACGTATCTAAACTACAGTCAAGCACTGAGCTACACGAGCCAAGCCTTGAGCCAGAACTTGCAAGGGCTAAGAAGGAGGAGCCCAATAGTGCGGATGCGGACAAGGTTCCTCTACTTTTTGGGAGAGAACTGGAAGAGAATCTGGGTGTTAACTTTATGGATCATGATCATGGTCGCCCTCTTCACATGGAAGTTCTTTCAGTACAAGCAGAAGAATGCTTTCAAGGTCATGGGTTATTGTCTCCTGACGGCCAAAGGTGCGGCAGAGACATTGAAGTTCAACATGGCCCTTATTCTCCTGCCGGTGTGTAGGAACACCATCACTCGCCTCAGGTCCACACGGCTTGCTTATCTTGTGCCTTTCGACGACAATATTAACTTTCACAAGGTACATCTCCTTGCTAGTTTCACCAACTACTCCTTTTTCCAATTCTCTCTTGCTTAAATTGTTTGCGTATTTTGGACGTTAATCAGTGGGGTCATATCATGGAGACTTTATTAACAAGTCAACGTGATGGTTGATCTTAATAGGCAATGATAGGATTTTTTTTGTTTTCTTCATTAGATGCGCACTCAAAATAGTGATTGGTCATATACGTGTGGTTAGATAACGTTACCCTGTTCTACACGTCCACCACGCAGCAGAAGTTGACATTCACTTTATCTCGGGGATAAAATATAGGCAGAAATAATATTAGTTGAGCAAAAATCAAAAGTTGATGCTTGCACTTTTATTTTAGCTAGTACATATGTAGTACAGGATTTGATTAGGTAGAAACTCTGGTGATCAGAATAGAATACTTACTTCACCAATCACATTTAGCATTCCGAATCATAGTGGGAAGTCATATGGGACTAACTGGAAAATTAATAAATTTGCTCTCTGGAAAACCAGATTTCATCCCCGAATCCATTATCAGACGAAAGTTTCAGCTTCTCGTGACTAAATTAAAGCCATTTCAAGTGCTATTACTGTTCTTATGTGTACAAATAGTGACATAACCTCGAATGGAGACAGCATGCATTCAAACAGCTGCTTAATCGTAAAACCTACTTGGGGTCTCATTAATTTGCTTCAAGATTGAACTCATCCCGTGATTGCATTTCTGTGTATATATCCAGACTGTCGCCGCAGCAATCGTAGTTGGTGTTATTCTACACGTTGGAAACCACCTTGCCTGTGATTTCCCGAGGCTGGAGCGCGCATCGGTGGTGGACTACAATCTGTACCTCAGAAATGACTTTGGAGACCATAAACCAAGTTACTTCAAATTAGCTAGAGGAGTAGAGGGTGTAACCGGAATTCTTATGGTGATCTTCATGATCATTGCATTTACACTGGCAACGACATGGTTCAGGCGCAACCTTATTAAGCTCCCTAAACCATTCAACAGAATTACCGGGTTCAATGCCTTCTGGTACTCACACCACCTATTTGTCATCGTCTATGTCTTGCTGGTTGTCCATGGTATATTCCTCTACCTTGTTCATCACTGGTACCAAAAAACGGTATGTACTTCAACCGAACTCTTTTTATAACACTTCCAAAGAGAATCATTGTTTCTAGAGTGGCGGCCTAACGTTTATATAATCTACAGACGTGGATGTATCTCTCTGTTCCCGTCTTGCTCTATGCCGGAGAAAGGGCCCTCAGGTTTTTCCGCTCTGGCTCATACACAGTCCGGCTTTTGAAGGTTGCTATATATCCCGGAAATGTGCTCACATTGCAAATGTCCAAGCCAAATCAATTTCGGTACAAGAGTGGACAGTACATGTTTGTTCAGTGCCCTGCGGTTTCTCCATTTGAATGGTTAGTCTCCTTTCCTATTGGTGCCTTTTTCCTCTCTTCTCCTCTGCATACTGCCTCAACTGAACCAGATTTAATTTGACCTTTTCAGGCACCCATTTTCAATCACCTCTGCTCCTGGGGATGATTACCTAAGCGTTCACATTAGGCAACTAGGCGACTGGACCCAGGAACTCAAAAGGGTATTCTCTGAGGCATGCGAGCGCCCTGTTGCAGGGAAGAGCGGCCTTCTTAGAGCTGATGAAACCACCAAGAAAAGGTCTGCTCATTTCCAGATTCGTATCTATAATAAATTATTAAATTTCCCTTCTCTCTCTGCTGCTGTGAGTAACATCTCTTTCTATACGCGTGAATACAGTTTGCCAAGGCTGTTGATAGATGGGCCTTACGGTGCCCCTGCACAAGATTACCGGAAATACGATGTCTTGTTACTTGTTGGTCTAGGAATTGGGGCAACTCCTTTCATTAGCATTCTCAAAGACTTGCTTAACAACCTTGTGAAGGAAGAGCAGTCGGTGAGTGATCAAACGGTTAAGAAGAGAAAAAATAAACTGTATATATTTTTCCTATCACATTAACACAGCTGCATTCTCTTTCTTTTCAGGATTCAATATCAGAAGTCAGCAGAACATCGGACGTTAGCTATGCCAGCACTGATGGCATGAGACGGAAAAAGGCGTTGAAGACCACGAACGCTTACTTCTACTGGGTGACGAGGGAACAAGGCTCCTTTGATTGGTTCAAAGGGGTGATGAATGAGATTGCAGACCAAGATCAACAGGTACTCATCACTCAAAAGTTAATTTAAATCACCCCGTTTAGCTAGTGGTTTGTTAGAGAGTGGTATAAGATCCACGATTGAACCTCTCCCAACAACTCGAGTTATTGGGATCAACTGGTGTTATTGGGAGCAACTGGTTCTTGACATGGTATCAGAGCCTAGAACCGAAAGGTCATGTGTTCGAATCTCCACGACCCCCAATATTAACCGTTGTCTTTCAAGCACATGGTATGGTGGGCCTGTGCAAACTTCAAGCCCGTGGGTTGGCTTTCGTTTGAGGGGGCGTGTTAGAGAGTGGTATAAGATCCACGATTGAACCTCTCCCAACAACTCGAGTTATTGGGATCAACTGGTTCTTGACATGGTTTACGTAATTGAAATGTTTGGTGTTCGAATCTCTGTTTGTTAATGCAGGGGGTGATTGAGATGCATAATTACTTAACCAGTGTGTATGAAGAAGGCGATGCTCGATCAACCCTCATTACCATGGTGCAGGCCTTGAACCATGCAAAGAATGGTGTGGATATTGTCTCTGGAACCAGGGTAAGTTAACGCCAGAAAAAAAAAAAAAAAAACATATTTCACTCATAGTAATCTTCAATTCCCATACTTCCAAGCGCTAAACCGAGATTGCAATGTGCTGTGTTGATGTCCACTCATCAGGTGCGAACCCATTTCGCAAGGCCTAACTGGAAAAAGGTGCTGTCAAAACTAAGTTCCAAGCACTGTAATGCAAGGATAGGTAAATTCAATACATACATATTTTTCATGCCACTTAGTTTCTTTAATCGTCTTGTACGCATTGGTTCTGATCAATGAGTTGGGTTGGAATTAATGCAGGGGTATTCTACTGTGGGGCACCTGTTCTAGCACAAGAACTGGGCAAGCTCTGCTACGAATACAATCAGAAAGGGTCTACCAAGTTCGACTTTCACAAAGAGCATTTCTAAGGGGAAAAGGCGTTGTACTAGGTGTCTCAGGTTGCACATAGACATCACTCCACTCCTTGCCTCTACATATACGTAAGAGCATTTCTTGCAATAAACCCAGAGTAGCTTTGTATAGCATCCAGAATAGTGAGATGAAAGAAAGCAGAAAATTCCAACAACAAAAAAAAAATGAGGAGCGAGCCAGAAGGGAAACAAAACACAGAATGTAGATAGGTATATATATTACAGCAGAAAGCTGAGCGATTCCGGTCCGCGGACAGTCTGGTCATCAATCAGTTTTTCAGCCAGTAAATTAGTAGTAAGCTAGATAGGCTGTGTGGATGCAGCCAGCCAGCAATTGGTGCTTGGAGGAGAGTGGAATTACAGCTGCAATGGTGATCCAAAAAGTCAGCAGAAAGCTTGTTTGGGGGAATGGATATGGATGGAGGATTATGATTCAAGTGGACCAAGTGTGTGGAAGTGTCTTTCTGTAGGGTTACTACTTTCTACACAGGAGGCTTCATTGGCAAACATTCTGAATGGAATGGTGGGGGGAATATACAGTTTTGAGACGGGAGGTAGGTATTCAATATTTATGGGTCCTACCAGAAGCGTGGGAGTCGGATATTGGAGATGGGAAATAGGGGGATGAGATAATTTTGTCTTCCATTTCGCTTGGTTGCATATTATTATTTCTTTTTTGTCAAAACTTGTTTGTCCTCAATGGGAACAGCCGCAGGCAGGGAAGAAGAAAAAGTATGTTACTCCTTCCTTACTACAGAATGTGTATTTGAGATTGAGTATGAATGCTTGCTGGGGACGCACAGTGCAAAGACCTGTCGTCTCCATCAGCATGATTCTGCGCTTTCTATGCTATTAAAGCAAAGATGAATTTGTATATGCAAATACCAGTCACTGTATTTCTTGCTCCATAGATTATTATTTGGTTGGTTAGTTCCATTTGAGTGGACTGTTATCATATCAATTAGTACCTTTTACAGGCAGCTAATTATCTCCTCAACATACTTTATTTCGATTGATTGCATCGGCTCTATCATCTGGGTTTGACGACGCCAGTACGCCACAATGCAGCTTATTATAGTTCTCTACACATCTAAAACCAGAGGTCCAAAGAATTTAAAAGCCCTATATCAATCATAGGTCCATGATGTAGCTATAACCCAGAACGGACCAAACTCAATAGCAGCCCGGCCCAGCTATTTCTTTTAATGGGCCCGGCCCGGCTGTTTTGCTCTACGGGAAGATAAAAGGGCCAGCTCTCCTTAACCTTTTCCTACTCCAACCTCGTGTTCGTCCACAGTATAGACTATAGTCGATTAGTCGTAATAGTTGCTTTCTGTGCTTACAGTGTAGCATTGAGATTTGGGCTCCCCCATTGATGGTGTTTCTTTTGCTAAGATGCTGCTGGGTCACAATCTAGGCGTGCAGGTGAACAATGACTCGCCAAGCTTGGCCATCCATCCTGAGCCTTCGAGCTACAGTGTTGCCGACATTTTGTAATTAAGCTCCATCTGCGAGCTGATGAAATACTCTTCATAATTACGATTGATCTTCATTACTATTAGAATTAAAGGTTTGGTTCATATGACTTCATCTTGTTCCTAATGTTAATAAATACCAAGTTAACCTGAAAAATATGCATGTACCTTTTGTCATAGAAAAATTCATGACAAATATTTGGCATATATGGCTGTTTTTTCTTCTTCTTACGCTCTTGTTAATTTGGTCCACATTTAGGATGGCAATTGAACTCGTACATGTGGGTACCCAACCCGATTAAAAAGGACAAAACCATGTTGACCAGTTTTGAATTGACAAGTTTTGAATTGTACGCAGGTAAAATAAGTATGTAGGTATTAGAAGGAATTATTCACAGTTATATTCGTGCATTCATGGGTACTCATGCACTAACGAGAAATATTCTTTCAAAATTAATTGAACATTTAACCCTTTTTTTTTCTTTTTACTACGGATGCAATGCACATGCTGGATTGAATATGAAAGACCCCTACTCAATCGTCTCATTGTTATCGTTAGTCCACACGCACACACATCCATCCCATCCCTGCCGTACTTGTCTTGGCATTTGCTTGACCTGGGCCTCCTAACCCACCAAACTTTTCGGACGAAAAGAAGAGAAAAAAAAAGTGGTCTAAACCCATAGAGGGCCCAATTGCTAGACCAATAATGAAGTCCAGATCGACTGCACGGAATGTTACCATCAGACGACTACCAACAGTCCATCTCTCCTCCCTCCCATCACGCCAGTCGCCACCACCAAAACCTCAACTAAAATAAAAAACACAAAAGCGAATAAAAGTACAATTAAAAAAATAACGAAGGCTCTGGTTCAAGTTAATTAAGAATATCCTTAATAATTAGTGTAAGACACGTTTGGTTCCTATGTCCAACTCCAACTAGACACGAAGAAATTAAAATATGAACGAAGGGAATTGAAACAAATGGGAAGCTTCTGCCAATTACACATACTAATAAGACTCATCAAGGGAATCAACCTCTCTCTCTCGTGAGTCTTCCTTGAACATTCCTCGCCTCTACACTTGAAAACAAGTCCCAAATAAGAAGTTAGGGGTCATTTGGATACAGGTTTTGGGTGTGGGATTTGAGCACAATTCTACATAACGTGGGATTTTATTAAAATAAATCGTTTGGAAAGCAATTATATGATAAGAGATTTTAAATATTAGAGATTTCAGAAACCCACAATTGTGGGATTATGAAATAGCTGATGGTGATCAGCTATTTTAAAATCCCACACAAATTCCACAAATTAAAAACCTGGGTTTTTAAACCAGTGATTTGAGCCAAAATTCCACAAATTAAAAATCTGGATCCAAATTACCCCTAGAAGTCCACCCTGCCTCTTTGTTCGTGTGTCACATTTATGACACTCGGCAAATGCATTTTGAATGAGGACAAATGTATATTGCATTTGAGGTCACTGAAATCATTTGCGTAGTACATGCTTGCTGCCTGAAAATAAAAAAACATTACATAGTTACTATGTTGATGTTTCTATCCAAATATGTTAAAATCGTTTTATGGGATAGTTAAGTTAAAATCATATGAGTAACATGACGATTTCAAAGGGTTTGTAGTTTTTTTTTTCTTCAGAAAGTAATAGCAATAAAGTTCAACTAGATTGGGGCCCGCCCGTTGGCCAGATGAATTTTGTTAATAATATAAATAAACATAGTAATTGTTCGAAACAAGATATATTTTTATTTCATACCATAAAAAATTTCAAATCATTTAATTATCAAAAATATCATACTCGTATAATTTTCAATATGCCAAGCCAATTTCTTACTGAAGTCTTTATTGAAAGTAAAAAACAAAAGCAAGGCAAGAAAATTGAGTCCTAAAAATTCAATCTGACTACACAATTTGCTCCTCGTTGTAACAAATTATTACACATTTCATTTTAGATTCCACGTGATCGCTTCTCCTTCGCCCCCCAAAGAATCATCATCTTCACCAACTACAATGCATTTTTCTTCTATAACGAAACCTTTATCTTCACAGTAATTTGTTCCTTCTCTTTTTCTTTTCTATTTTCGTAGAAAGCTAATCTTTCATTGTAAAGTATTTTGAAACACTAAACATTCCACACAGTAGAATATATGTCTCCTGAGCATTTTATGAGATTTATTCTTTCCCCAACGATAATACACAATTTAGCGATCAACAGAAAATTTGATACTCTATAGATTAAAAACTAAGGCCCTGTTTACTTTCATTTCTGTTTCCTGTTTTTGAGAAAACAGATGTTGAAAACAGGTGAAAACGACATTTTTTCGTTTTCGAGAACAGTAGAAAGCTGCCACTTTCTGTTTTCAGAGTTGGAAACAAATAGAAAACAGAATGAAAAGTAAACATATTTTCTCGTTTCGTTTGTCAAATTTATGACATGAAAACAGAAAACAGGAAACGAAAATGAAAGTGAACAGGGCCTTAATGAATAACCTTTAGGGGGTTGACTATTCTCCAATAAGTATGTGTATTTTTTCTTCTTCTTATATATATGCAGATTTTATTTTTCAATTTGTAAATCATGAATTAAGCGGAAGTATCATGATCATTCTAAGTTGACTTTAGGAAGGTTGGGATCTTAGTCAAAGTCTAGTCAGCAAGATGATACCCACTTTCTTGACAATCAAGCGACAAATTGATGGCGGGGATGATTAGGAATTGATGTATAGATCGGGTACCACTATAGATGAACCGATAGTTCATGAATGCTATTGTAGATCGATGATGCCATAGGATGCTAGAATAACATATTATTTTTATTCCAAAAAATGTCAAAACGAAGGTTTTGTCTTCAGTGCACACTTTTTTGGGTGTATGATATGCGCTCACCTCATAATTGACATTCTAAGTACGCGATTCATGTCAAAATTATTTAAATCGTTACTTGTATTGTATGATGGACAACAAAATACACGTATTTATAAAAAAAATCACTCAAGATTTACTTTGAGTTGAATGATTTAGAATTTAGGAGTTTTGGGTTTGGGGTTTACAATTTGGGGTGTAGGTTTAGGGTTCAAAATTGAAGGTTTAGAGCTTAGGGTAATTCATTGTTTGGTTATGATACTATGTTATATCATCATATTAGATTAATAATACCACTTAAAATTTAAACCAAACGCCTTTACATTACTTTTAGAGTTGGGTGCATAGTATGCACTCCTTTGTGTGAGTGCAGTGTAGAAGCTACCCAAAATGAATATTATTCTATGTAGTATAATTATTTGATTTTTAGTGAAAAGTTTATAATTTAAATCAGGACAAATGAAACATGACTAATTAAAAATCAATAAGGGAGTGATTATTAACGTTGAATTATACACCTCATCTATTAATAAATTAACAATAATCTAAATGGCCTAAATGATACAATGGAATAGAGCTGTTAATAATAATTTTAATAAATATATAATGAATTCTACGGTGCACTATATCATCGGCTGTTTCATTTAAAAGAAAAAACTTTATGGTACAAATTGAACTTATACCTTTAACGTAATAGTCAATTTCAAGTTGTTTCTATACATTTTCACACAAGTGCAAATTTAATTTGTACCTATATCTTTCAGTGCAAATTCATTTATGATACAAACTGAACGTAGAATCTTTAACGTTATGATAAAATTTGTACCTATACATTTTGTACAAATTACTTTATAATACAAAATAAACTTGTATTTTTAACGTTATAGTATAAATTTAAATTGCATTAACAAATACAATACTTTGAAGAAGTTGGGCCACATAAATTAAACCTTTTTCTGTTCTCTATGGCCCGTATGGATTAAAAATATTGAGGTAAGCCCCATCCGTCCTCCTTTTTATACTGTGTAGCCCATGTGAATTAAAAAATATCTTAAGGTACATTTAAATCTCATATTCATGGAATAAATCATAAATAGATTATTTTGTTAATTTCATTTGCTAAAACAACAGTGGTGAATTAACCCATATAATTATTGGTGCTCATATAATTAGCTTCTATTTTGTGCCGCACAAGTGCTGTTGTTGTCTTCCAAAAGAATTCTCCAGCTCAATTCTCTCGGTGTCCCTTCAATTTTTTCCAGTCCCAAGTTTGCAATGAAAAGAATAATGGGTCTGGCCCAGTTCGGTCAATAATTACACAGATATATTTACCAAAGTCTTTTTCAGTGAATTGCGGAGAGAGCAGGAAAAGAGGGATTAAAGGGGTTCCGGCCAAGAATCTCCATATAGTATTGTTAGTATTAGGATTTTGTTCTATTCTCATCTTCTCTAGCTCACTATTTTTTTTTACATCTAATGAATGAACGGCGAGAGCATCTAAAATTGTCATACACCTCCTAACACATGGAGCATAGAGGGTTCCACGCTCTCGTTATGTTTTTTTTGTTTTTTTGACAATGTTAAGTTCATTAAGAGCAAATGGGTCAAGCCCAGTGGAAAAG